CCCAGTTTGTACGAGTCCATTTTACTCAGAATGTACCTAAAGAATAAATATGGTGGTGTTTGGGTGGTGGGAGCCAGCCACCATCTGTAATGACTTGATTCTTTGGGGCAGATTAGCTCAAATTCAGGCACCAGGGCTCCCTTCGTTGGTGTGGGGACCCATGGCTGGAACTTCACCAGGTCCTTAATCAGTTACATCGGTTTAGCAGTTGAAACTTTCAGAAGCATTTTTGTTGTTGTTATTTTTGACAATAATATTTCTTGAAAACTTTCTAAGGCACACTAGCAGCATTTTCCTTCCGCACAGCAGAAAACTAATCTACCTTTGCCCTTCCTGCTCCACCCCCCCCCCACCCACATCTGGTTTAAACATGTTGTTTAATTCTTTCCAGAAAGAGGGAGGGAAGGTGGGAAGGGAGTTTTCCTCCTCTGTACCTTTTGGTAGTGAGTTCATTGTCGTTTCTGTTCTGGGTGGGGTGAAATGCCTGAGTAACGTCAATACACCACAGATAGGAAGCAGTTGGCATGCGGCCCTGCAGCTGGATTATCCAGACATCCCTCGCAGCTTTTAGTGCAACACTTTATCCCTGCCTTGTTTTAAATAGCCAGATGCCTCAGTTAATGCTGGCTGTCGGAGATGTTGCCAGAGGAGATGGCAGTGGGGGGTGGAATTCTTTCCCTTCAGCCCCAACTCACACACCCCATCACAGAGAAGTCTGCCCTTGGGAAGAGGCAGGAAAGGAACCAAGGCGGAAAAGAGGACCCTGCAGACGGAGAGCAAAGGTCAACATTAACAGCCTCTGTAGTCTGGAAGCCAAGGGGTGGGTATTTTTTTGTATCTCTAATGAATAATTTCTGGAGATAAGTTTATGGCACTAACATAAGTAATACAGACTTCCTTTTTTACACTTAATCCCATTAAAGAAAAGGAGACCAGCGCACAGCTGCAACACAAAAAAAGAGAAAGCATGTTTCAACAAGAGGTGTGCAGTTTGTTCCTCACCTTGGCCCTTTCCTGTAGGTGAATCCACAGTGTACTTGCTGCAGGTTTGAGGAGCTGAGTTTCATACCACAGAGTTACACATCCTGGGACCCTTTGTTTCTCTAGAATGAATGGGGTATAAGGGGGAACATGATATTCTCAAGGTGTTTGTATGCAACTACCCTAAACAAATGTTTTTAAATGTTCTTAATCTCTATGATCTAAAAGAATATGCATGTTGAATCCTGAGATAAATGGATTAATGATGCAAGCCATGTGATTTTTTCTTTTAATTCTGTTTTCCTATTTAATGAAAAGGAAATTTTTACCCTAACCCAGTTAAGCTATTGGGCTCATAAGCAAAAGAGTATTGAATACTTTATATTTTCCCAGGGATTCTGTTAGCTACAAATAATTTTTTTAAAAGCTGTTGAAAACTATTTTGTATTTAACCCAACCACTGCACAACACAGCTCTAGGCCCTAGGGATATAGCAGTGAACAAAAAGGGCAAAGTCCCTGCTCTCATGGAGGTTACATTCTAGTGGAGAAAGGTGGCCAAACAAATAGGGCAGAGGTTGACTTAGCAGCATGTGGAAAGAGAAAGCAGAGTAAGAAGATTTAGGAAGAGTGAACGGAGCTACTTTATATAAAGTGGACAGAGAAGTCTTCTGTGATGAAATAACCTTGAGAATGAACTTAATGTGTGGGGAGAAGAGTGGGAAATGAGGTTTAAGTGAAAGAACTGGCATGTGCAAAGGCCCTGAGGCAGGAGTGTGCCTCATGTGGCAGACTGTCAAGGACAGTGGGATGAATGTGGCATGATCAAGGAGGAGAGGCGTGAGATAAGTGCTAGATATTTTATTTTCACTCAGTTATATAAGGAAATTACTGAAGGGTTTGTTTGAGTAGAGTGCAATAATCTGAGTTATCTGTCTATTTTCTTAGAAAGTTGGGCAAGCATGGAGTAAGGAGGTCATTTAGGAGGCTATTGCAATAGTCTGAAATGTGATGGCAGCTGGGATCAGGGCAGTGTTGAGGGAGGTAGTAAAAAGTGGTTTCTGGATATGTTTCCAAGGGAGAGCCAACAGTATAGGAAGGTGTCCGGAATCAAGAGTTCAACGTGAAACGTGGATTTAGGTGCCTGCTAGACACTCAAGCAGAGAAATCCCATTGCCATTTGGTTTTACTGGTCTGAAGCTTAGGGAAGAGGTCTGGATAGAAACATGAATTGGGCCCCTGTTAGCACATAGACAGTACTTAAGCTGCAGTGGTTGGTCCTGGCTTGAGTCGTGGGCGGTTTAGCCACAGTTACCAAAGGAGTGAAAGAGAGTACTAGTACAGAGTAGTAGGCATATTGATGGTCACAGGTGCAAGTTCTGATTGTGTCTGTTTTCTCGGAGAAATTGAAGCGAGCTCACCCATCCTCTGTGAGGGAGGTGGTAAGAGGACACATGAAATAATCTTGGGGATGGGATTGGGGAATTAGGATACTGGGTGCCACCTAAGAATCCATTGTGGTTAGTGGTTATAACTTTCAAACTAGACCTGTAAGTTAAACAGTGGGGTTTTTTCCTCTAACCATGTTCAGCAGCCTGGGTGGGAGCATGGGATTAAGTAGGTGGGATTTCACCAGAGTTGGCGTTTCGCCAGGCAGTTACATTGAGAAAAGAGAACAAACGTGTTAAGGTTTTGTGCAAAAGCATGTCATGATAGAGCATGGAGCTCAAGTTGGGTGGAGAATCAGTGAGAGCAAAGGGGGAGTGGGGAATGGCGAGGTGGGGTCAGTCGGGGGGGGTGGTCATAACACTAGCTTGTGGGGTGGAATTACTGGAGTCTGGTGGCAGTGAGTTTACAGAGTCGGGAGGTGGTGGCTGGTGAGCAGGATGCTTAAAATTGACGTGGTGGAAGCTGTGCAGATGTTGGTCATGGCGAGGTTAAGGTAGTGACTGGGCATGGGTGGCTGACGTTGGTTGTAGGACCAGGGCACTGGAGCAGAAGAGTTCCAGAAACTGAAAGGCCAAGGAACCGGAAGGATCCTCTGGGTCAATGAAATTACAAAGAATCATTACAGAGATCGTGGTGGAGAGATGGAGGGGGAGTGACCCAGAGGTCTGTGAAAGATTGAGGGTAGTGGGGGCATGGTCAGACTTGGGGGCTTCAGAGGAACTGGGGGGAGGGCCACTGGCCTACAGCAGCAGAGGTGAATACCCGACCCCACATCCAGGCTCAGTAGGGAGAGATGTGTGAGAGAGAAAGCAGCCCCGTGTGGGTGGGCCACAGAGGTCCACCCAGAGCACCTCTGCTTTTAGGTTAAGAAAGTGAAAGGAGCCCTGGCTGGTTTGGCTCAGCAGTTAGAGCGTCGGCCTGCGGTACAGAGAGACCCGGGTTCGGTTCCCGCTAAGGGCACGTACCTCGGTTGCAGTTTGTCTCCGCCCCAGTTGGGGTCGTGGGGGAGGCGGCCACTCGATGTGTCCCTTTCACGTCGATGTTTCTTTCTCTCTTTCTCTCTCTCTCTTCCTCGCTCTCCCTTCCATTCTATCTGAAAAAAAGAAAGAGAGAGAGAGAGAGAGAGAGAGAGAGAAAGAAAGGAAAGAAAGAAAGAAAGAAAGAAAGAAAGAAAGAAAGAAAGAAAGAAAGAAAGAAAGAAAGAAAGAAAGAAAGAAAGAAAGAGAGAGAAAGGAGCTTACAAGAGATACCTGGAGTCGAATGGTGGTTGTCAGGGGCTGGGGAGAAGGCAGGACGAGGAGCTAGTGCTTCCTGAGCATGGATTTTTAGTCTGGGAAGATGAAAAGAGTTCTGGAGGTGGATGGTGAGGATGTTTGCAGAACAATGTGAATGTGCTTAATGCCATGGAATTAATGCCATTGAAATGGCTGAAATGCTACACTTTACATTATGTATGTTTTACTACACACAAACGTCTGAGGAAAGGATAAGAAGGTGAGGGGGTGTTGGACCTTGAGTCTGATGGCACGGTGGGAAGGGAGTGGGTCGCAGTAGAGGGTAAGCTGTAGGGAGTCATGGAAGGTCTAGGTGGCATTGCCTTGGGGGATGAGTGTGGTGAGCAGGGGCATGGGGCAGAGGGACAGTCCGAATGGGCTCTGGCAGTGGGTTGCACGCTCTGTGGCCAGGCTCTGTGCGCTGGCCCGGAAGACGGAAACGGGGGGTTCTGTGTTACTCTGCATCGTCGTTTCCCTGGAATCTGGCACGGTGCCTGGCATATAGAAGACAGAAATATATGTCTGAATGAGTAAAAAATGAATTATTTCCAAAGAAAAAAGGGCAGCAAGTGAGAATTTAATGGCCTTGCTGAAAATCCAAATAAATTTCCTGCAAAGTGATGAAGAATGAAAAGAAGCTAGAGTTGGTCTCCGGAGGAAAAAGAGGATGTTTGGCAAATGTGCAAAAGAACTTGATGTGAAATTGACATTTAGACTGGAACAAATGGAATCAAACAAAAGGGTACACATGTGTAAAGGGTGCTTAAATTGAAATATTTCCCACTTATGTAAGTGATTGCATAGTGAATTTGTGATTTGGAAATGGATTCTCCTATTGCTATGCTAAATCAGGGGATTATTAGCTTTATAAAATGTTAAACCTTGGTCATTCATCATAAACTAAGTTTTAAGGATTGAAACCATAATATCCTTTTAAGTTAATAGGTTCGTCTTTTCTAACGTATAGATACCAAACTATAGAGATCAGCTCATTTGTTTTATCGTTAATACTTACCACCCAGGAACTGGAGAATGTTATGCCTGAATACATCTTCAAAGACTCACAAACACCTTTAGTTACTGGGCATCTTTTAAAAAATGTACTTTTATGTTGAGTGTAAGTGTTTTGTTTTTTCCCTAAAAGTTGAGATGGGCTGCCTTTAAGGTTGCTGCCAGACACACCTTTACTTTTAACAAGCCCAGCAAATGCTGGTGTGGTCAGTCATCTTGCACTGTGAAACATGTCCTGCAGCTACCAGACCATTGTCATGCCCCGTTCTTCTTGTTGTCGTTTTAGTGACAGCTATATTGTGCGTGTCAAGGCTGTGGTTATGACCAGAGATGACTCCAGCGGGGGATGGTTCCCACAGGAAGGAGGCGGGATCAGTCGCGTGGGGGTCTGTAAGGTCATGCACCCCGAAGGCAATGGACGAAGCGGCTTTCTCATCCATGGTGAACGGCAGAAAGACAAACTGGTAATGGCAGACATGGAATGCGGGGGTTAAATCAGCAATGACTGATTTCTTTACCTTAAATCATAGCCTTCTTCCTGTAGGTTATTTCTTTCCTTCTTTCTCTGACTTCAAACTCTTGCAAAAGCTTTAAAAGTTATAACTCTGGAGCTGGTGCCAAATTGCAAAACGTAACCCTGGCTTTTCAGCAAAGTCACTTCTTACCCTGTACCATGTAACTCGATGCTAAGAAGCTGTGTATTCGGCAGGCTGGTTTGCCTCTTTGATTAACTAAGCTGTCTTTCTGTCACTGTAACAAAATATTCAAAACAAACGTGTGTTCTTTATTATGAGTCAGATTGTAGTGAGCTGTGAAGTCAGAGTTTTTAAAAACATTGAGTTTTTGGTTTTGTCTCTTTTGGAGCATGCCATCAAGGTTTCGTTGGTGAAAAGTAAATGGAAAGAAAAAGTGGCACCTGGAATTTGGTTACTTCTAAATAAATGTTTATCTAAAATATACTGTAGGTTTTATTTCATAAAGTAATGAATAAAACATGTTTAGAAAAAGGAAGTAACAGAAAGTAGTGGTTTCACCCTTCGATAACGATTCTAAGCATTTAAAAATATACACTTTGGAGTGTAATCACAATCTCACAGGGCAGGGGCATAGATCATCCACCCACTTGCATGAAGGAACTTGGATGTCCAGTTCTATGTTATGAAGGAAACTGGAATGTCAAATCTATTTTTAATTGGTGGTGTGAACCTGGAAGAACACTGCTCCTATCTGTATTTGACCATGGAGTGTATACTCAAAAGCCATCAGATGATTCAGAATGTGCAGTATTGGCCTGGCTGGTTTGGTCAGTGGATGGAGCGTCCTCCCATGCACCAAGAGGTCATTGGTTTCATTCCTGGTCAGGGTGGATGCCTGGGCTGGATCCCCAGTAGAGGGCATGCAGGAGGCAGCTGATTGATGTTCCCTCATCTCCCTCTCTCTCTCCCCTTCCCCCCTCTCTCTCCTTCTCCTTCCTCTTTCTCTAAAAAAAAATCAATGAAAACATATTTTTTAAAATGTGCAAGATGGAACAGAAAATACAAAGACACTACAGGATATATCAGTGTGACATCTGAGACCCTTACCTGTGGCATGTGTTGAGTTTGTTGTGCTAAGTATACAAATACAATCTTTTGCAAACACTTGTTGTTTTAAAAGTTACAAAATAGCTACGACAGAACAATTTGGAAATGTTATCTATGGATTAACAGAAATGCTGTTTTCACACTTGATTCGTTTCTGAAAATGAAGTAAATTTAAAGGCAGAATATAGCTCATTTTAAGAAGTGTGTCTATTTTATAAATTCCCTACATAGTAGTCAAATAATTAAACATTCTTGTTTCTAAGGTATTCACAGTAAAGACATTGTAACCACACTACCAATATAAAATAAAATAACTACCCTTTATATAGCATTGACGCTGTGCTAGCCCTTTAGTTGGGTTGCGTCATTGTGTTCTTACAGCAGCCTGTATAATCATACCTGCAGAAATTGAGATTCAGAAAGACTCCTTGTTCTTGGTGACTCATCTTGAGAGTCTGGAACCAGTATTTGATACTGTCACTCTGACCCCCTAACTGAGCCAAAGTCACACGTGCATAACCACCTTTAGCTCTGATGTCGTTTTTCCTCCTCGTGCATATTTTTATTTTTACATAGCTATCGTCAGAGCTCATAAACAGTTCTGCATGTCATTGCTTTTGCCCTAACATTACTGTAAGAATTTTCATGTTTCTGTTATCAGGTTGATGTCTTTTTGTTTATTTGACAATCTCCTTAGTGTTAAATATTAAGCTTCTTCCCTCACTGCCCCCACCAGTATTACTGATCTGCATTTGTAGATACATACCTGCATTTTCCACATTTATTATTTTCTTGGAATAATTTGTATGTCAAATTTTTATGACTTTGATTATTGTACAAAGCGCTGCTACCAGCATATATGAGAAGATTCTTTAACACAACGAGGATCAGATATTTTACATCTTTACCAGTTCGATAGAGTATCGGTGGTATCTTGTTGTTTGTTGATAACTAATGAGGTCAAATGTTTTTCTGTTTGGTAAACAGTGGCAACTGAATTATCTGTTAATGTCCTTCGCATGTTTACCTGTTAGGACCTTACTTTTCTCCTTCACATGTATATACACCCTCTTGTATAACAGGAAATTAATCTTCATCTGCCATATTTGCTGTAAATATTATTATAATCTTTTGCTTGCCTTTTTGTTTTAGTTGTTCTTTTTCTACAAAATTTTTTTCCTTTTTCCCTTTTTTACTATTTTGTGTTAGCACATTATCTTACCTGAATGGTTATATCTTTTTTTTTTTTTTTTTTTAATCCTCACCTGAGGACATGCTTAGAGAGAGGAAGGTAGAGAGAGAAAAACATAGGTTGGTTGCCTTTCGTACACTCCCCGACTGGGAATCAAACCCGCAACCCAGGTATGTGCCTTGACCGGGAATCGAACCGACAACCTTTCGGTGCATAGGACTGTGCTCTACCAACTGAACCACTCCAGCTGGAAAAGGGAGAAGTATTTTAATAGAGTTTTCAGATCATTGTAGATATACTTTTTGATCCTACACTTAAGGTTTCATGTATATGGAATCTGAAGCCGTATCAATGAATTGTTCACTAAATCCACTGCTTTATCTTTACTTTGATGAGATTTTTTTTACTCATTCCTGATTTTGTAATATCATGTGTTGGTCATTTGGAAAATAATGGTTTTCTGATTTAAGCAGATCTTCCAAATGTTGATACATTTAACTAAAGAGTATATAAAAAAAATCACACTTATGCCCTGGTCGGTTTAGCTCAGCAGTTAGAGCATTGGCCTGCGGTCCAGAGAGACCCGGGTTCGGTTCCCGCTAAGGGCACGTACCTTGGTTGCAGTTTGTCCCCAGCCCTGGTTGGGTCGTGTGGGTGGCAGCCACTCGATGTGTCTCTTCCACATCAATGCTTCTCTCTCTCTCTCTCTCCTTCCTACTCTGTCAGAATAAAATATGGAAAAATGTCCTCAGATGAGGATTAAAAAAAAAAATTGCATTTCTTAAGATCACCACTAATCTCATTAGGAAAGTCTTTATTGGGAAGCTGCCCACAATTCTTTCTCTTGAAAGTTCAAATTTTATTATTGGCAACAAATACCTCCAGTTGTTTTCCTTGAAGTGACAGGCTCACTGTGTTCATATTCAAGAAAATATCTGCCAAATACACAGGTCTGAGTACCATGGTTCTTTCAAGTAGATCCATGAAAAAAGCAGGCAATTCAACTCACAACTGAAATGATTGCACAAGTGCTTTTCCTTGGGACAGTCATCATTCTTCCATATACAGAAGTGAGAAGCTGTTAGAAATCCTCTTCCCTTTGCCAGCTGTGCCTTTGTGCAAAGCCAGTTTCTTTGTACACTTCAGCCATAGCAACATATCACAGCAGATGGGACGCAGAATTAGAGATGAGAATCCAAATGTGTGTACTTTATTTCATCACACAAAATGAAAGATGTGCATTCAAGGGTCAAGACTTCATCATTTTAACTGCTTGATCCAGAAGAATCCTACGTAAAACTGGCATTTTATACTTTGCCCCTGTGACAGTGATGAATCCAGTGACATTAGTACAGTTTGGTGCCATGCACCACCTTATGCTGTGGCATAGCAGTGTGATGCACTGTGATGCACTGTTCCTTTTGCACCATCAGGAGACATGGCAACACAATGAAAAGGCCAAAAAAAAGGGTAGTCTTTGGAAATAGTTTTGCCATCCTGGAACCCCCTGTAAGGGCGGGGGCATGCAGCCGGAGGACTCCCAAAAACCTGCAGACCAAACTTTGAGAAAATGTATGAGGATGTTCATTCTAGCATTGTTTATAAAAGCGACCAATTAGAAATAACCTAGCCCGGCTGGTGTGGCTCAGTGGTTGAGCGTCAACCCAGGCACCAAGAGGTCGCTGGTTCAATTCCCAGTCAGGGCACATGCCCAGGCTGTGGGCCAAATTCCCAGTGGGGGTGTGTGCAGGAGGCAGCCAGTCGCTGAGCTCTCTCATTGATATTTCTCTCTCTCTCTCCCCTCCTTCTCTAAAATCAATAAAGAAAAAAATGTTAAAAAGAAAAAAGAAATAACCTAAAAATCTCCATTAGTATGGAGAATGACTGAATAATTCTAATAAATTCATACTGGGGAATATTAGCCATGGAAGAGAATACTTTTTGCCTTCCTGTGTCTCTAAGACTTGTTCTTAAGGAAAAGAAAAGGCAAGTAGCAAGGTAATTTGTAGGTGTGGTCACATATAAACATACTCACCCTTACACACAAACTTGTATACTCACAGAAGCCACTGGAAGGTTACTGGGATTGTGCCCACTATACTGACAGTGGGCAGCTCTGGAAATGGAGAGGCATTGCGGGTGAGGAGGGAAAGGAAAGGAAGAATGAAGCCTTCATATATTCATCCAAATTACTCAAAATCTTTTACAACTTGTATTTCTTGTGTATATTTTTTTAAAGCCTCCAACAAGAATATATAATTGCCCTGGTCGGTTTGGCTCAGCGGTTAGAGCATCAGTCTGCGGTCCAGAGAGACCCGGGTTTGGTTCCCGCTAAGGGCATGTGCCTCAGTTGCAGTTTGTCCCCAGCCCTGGTTGGGTTGTGTGGGTGGCAGCCACTCGATGCATCCCTTTCACATTGATGTTTCTCTCTCTCTCTCCCTCCTATTCTATCTGAATGGAACAACGTCCTCGGATGAGGATTAAAAAAAAAAAAGAATATATAATCTTTTTTTTTCTCCCCATGCATCTCATTTAAAAAAATATTTTATAAAGCCTTTCTCAAGTTTTAAATTAATGCCTAAACTTCATTAGATGTTTTCTACCTGTTGATAAGTTGAAAGCATCTGAACTTATTCATTTTTGTCATTAAACTTAGATATGTGATGATGTCATTTTGCTGAAGAGGACACAGAGAGATGGTTTCTGATCCCTTCCCCCTCACTTAATTGAGGTGGCTGAACTTACTTTACTTTTCTAAGAATTTATTAAACTTCTGTAAGAAAATGTACCATTGTATTAATGTTAAACTTGGAAAATGTCAACTGAAGACTAATTTTTCACCCTAAAAATATTAAGAAACTGGAAGTATTTGTTTTTACAAAAAGTTTATTTTGAGACTTTGAATCGAGACTATTAAATTCTAAAATAGATAACATTTGTTAGTTAGAGCCTTGGTTATTTGGATTTCCCCAGTTTGGAATGGGGCTGGGCTGACATTTAACCATCGCACTATTCTTAGGGGGAAATGGCCATAATAAGTAATGTAATCATAAATAGAACTGCGAAGGGACTGTTGTCATCTTTCAGTACAATGCAATGAAGTTAACTGCTGGGGACTGCTACTTGATCTGCCAATTTGACCATTAGTCTCATCATTTTATAAGTTGGGGAGCATCTAGTAGGCAGCACTTAATTTCTGTTTGCTTAGATGTATCCTTGAAACCTGTACTCATTTAAGGACATTCTTTAATTTGAATTTATACTAATTTAGGCAGGCCTTTACTCTCCCTTTACTTAGTAGGATTTCATTTTGTTAAATGAAGAACTTCTCCAGAACAAGATCAAAGCTATTAACACTTAGCAAAATTATTTTAGTGTACATAGGAATAAATATTGTTGATATTTTAAAGATTTCTTTTGTGAATAAAGAATGGAACTTGCATTCACATGACTGTAATGCTTTTATGCTGTAATGTTACACTCTGGTATCTTTATCAACAGTAGCACCGTGCCAGATACTGAGGGAGTTATTTTACGATACGTCTTGATCTTTCACAGTCTAATTAGGGGAATAAGACAAAGGCACATGCAGTGTTAGAGCATAATGTGAAATCTAGTACTAAATTGTGAAGATGACCGGAATTGAAGTCAATAAAAGTAAAACTTGATGGCACAAATATACTGGAAAATGAGTGTTACCCTGTTAAGTTTCTCTTTACTCAGTGTTTTCAGAGCATGTTCGTGTGTGTCTTCTCATTGGTAACGTTGGTGTTATTTCCACTTTAGAGACAAAAAGACTGAGGGTCTGAGACAGTCTACTCAAAGTTATAGCTTAGTTAAAGGCAGTTCTAAAACGAGATTGCTAGAAACTTGGAGACTGTTCTAATAATCCAGCTAAAAGGTTAATAGAGACCCAGAATCAGGGTGGTAGCAACTGACATGGATTGATATAAAAGATATTGAAGGGGAAATGAAACAGACTCGGTGATTAATAACAGAGGGTAGAGAAAGAAGAGGCAAGATAACCACGGAGCTTTCTGAGCCAACGACAAGGAACAGAGAGGGCTGGCATTGCCAGCTATGGGGAAGTGGGAGAGGAAACCAGTGACAGAAATTTCAGAGCAGATTAAGTTAATTTTTCAACATGTTGAATTTGAGATCACTTAGGACAGAGAAGGGAAGGTTGAGAGCCACTAATACAAAGGCCCTGACATGGAAGCAGTAAACCTGGAATAGAGCAAAGTCCCAAGACCCGGGCCTCAGCTTAGAGCCCCCCAGTCAGGGATGAGGAAGAGGAATGACAGAGAAGAGCATAGTTAAGGATAGTACATTGGGGATCACCAAAGTCAAGGGTGGGGGGGTCAGGTGATGGGTAAGCAAAGAGTGGATGGTCCACAGAGACAATCATCAGCCTTTCAAATGGAGAGACTCATAGATACGTGAAGGCACGGATGGAGGGTTTTCATTAGCTGCTACCAATAATGGATGGTTTCTCGTTAGATTTTTGTAACCAGACACCAGCAAGACTGTTTCACAAGTAACCAGCCTGTGTGTTTCAATCCTTCAGGTGGTATTGGAATGCTATGTAAGAAAGGACTTGGTCTACACCAAAGCCAACCCAACCTTTCATCACTGGAAGGTCGACAATAGGAAGTTTGGACTTACTTTCCAAAGTCCTGCAGATGCTCGAGCCTTTGACAGGGGAGTGAGGAAAGCAATCGAAGACCTTATAGAAGGTATTGAGCTTGTCACTGTATTCTTAGTGGGACTGTGTTGATTTTCTGAGTTCTTTCCCATTCCAGTTGTCCACCATCATATATTTGTAGTTGCAGGAGGGTTGGTGGCCAGGTCAGTAGATGCCAAAACTTTAGGAACATCCAAGGAAAACAAATACAAAGTGAGAACACAGGGGAAAAGGAGATGGGTTTCAAGTAAGGAGTAGTCCCAGTTGGACTTTTTGGTGTTCATCTTTCCCTGACGATTGGAACAGCTTTGGTCTGACCTATCTTGGCTCAGAAATGGATAATGGATTCAAATAGGCATAGATTCCAGGCCTACCCACCGCCCTCTTATAATCAAAGCCCAGGTGTGCAGCTGCCCCTGACCAGGAAAGGGATCTGTGACTCCTGGAGCCCTGGTTTGGTGCAGGCCTTAGTCTGTGGTGAGTGGTTAGTAGACATCGTGTTGCATTTGATCCTGGCCTGGAAGGTTCTTAGGCCCTCAGTTCTCATGGACTTTTATAGATGCAAACACACAGATTCTCCACTCTAACACACTCAGTTCTCAGATCAGAGGGTTAATGGTACCACAACCCTGTAAAGAAAGAAATATCAAGCAAAAAGCCAAACTCAGAATTAATTAATTATAAAAATTAATCATAAACAAATGTGTCTTTCAACTGTCTAAGAAGTAAGAGTGTTGCCCAGCTGGTGTGGCTCAGTGGTCAAGCATTGACCCATGTACCAAGAGGTTGCTGGTTTGATTCCCTGTCAGGGCACATGCCCAGGTTGTGGGCCAAATCCCCAGTGAGGGGCATGCAGGAGGCGGCCAATCGATGTTCTCTCTCAGTGTTTCTCTCTCTCTCTCTCTTTTTCCTCCCGTCCTCTCTAAAATCAATAAAGGGGGAAAAAAAGAAATAAGAGTGTTCAGAAGTTATTTTCTTCCTTGTGGATTTATGGGAAAAGAGAAAAGCAATCTTCAATGAAAAATTGCTTAACATTAGTAGTAAGACAATTCTAGCTAGAACATGAATATACAACCACATGATAGCCAATGAAAACTGTTTATGTCATAGGTCTTACATAAGTAACAAATGTTTAAAATGTTGTTATTAAACAACTTTTAAATATTTAGAGAGAAAATAGCTCCTATATCACTGATAGTTTTCAGTGCATCCATATACTTAATTACTGAATCTATAAACAAAATTGATCACCTGTCATTTTTTTCTATATATATACTCTACCTAGCTGTTTTCTGGAAAACTTGCCTTAAACATTGATTGACTAGAATAATTCAAATAGTATAGAAAAACCCTGAAAGAGCAATAGGAATTGAGCAGAGGTTATTATGGGACTTATTTTTTTCTCCTGTGATTCCTCGTTGGAAATTATATATTCCACTTCCCTTTCTGAGTAGTTCTTTCTTTCTTTTTTTATCCTCATCCAAGGACATTTTTTGATATTTTGTTCAGATAGAGTGGGAGGGGGAGACATCGAGTGGCTGCCACCCACACAACGCAACCAGGGCCGGGGACAAACTGCAACCGAGGTATGTGCCCTTAGCGGTAACTGAACCCGGGTCTCTCCGGACCGCAGCCGATGCTCTAACCGCTGAGCCAAACCGGCCAGGGCTGAGCAGTTTTTTTAATTTCTGTTTTATGTAATAGCAAAATAGTTTCTAAATGCATATTTTTAAAGACTTAACCAAAAAAAGGGAGAAAATGGAGAATAAAATTCTCCATTGGTGTATCTATCACTTAGGCAGATTTAAATATTTTTCCTTTTGGCCATTAACTGTCAATTGTTGATCTATACATTACTGGATACTGTTAATGAAGGAAAAGTAGGAATTTCTACTGGCTTGCATACCAGAAAGAAAAAAGAGATGAAAAAGTAAATAAAGTGAACCTTCATTCCATGATGGAATAAATCGAGTTTTCTGACCTGAGCCTAGATTATAGCCAGCAGAAACAAACTCATTGATGCCCTGGTACTGCAAGAGAAAACACACTTGCCCTGGCATCAGCTTAGCAGGTGGCTCCCACAGTCTGGGTTTTAGAGTACAATGCCTGACTTTCAGAACAGGGGGTGACCATACAGGCTGTTTAGTCTGTTGGCAGATGAAAAGACCAGAAAGCTGAGTCCAGTTTACACAGTGAGATGGTGGCAGGTCTAGCTTGGGGGTTGTCCGTCCAGTGCTTTTCCCGCTGTACACCACTGGGACCTGGGGGGTTCCTGGTGGAGGCTGGTCTTGACCTTGCACCTCAGAGCAGTGGGCAGGCTGTCCCCACCCCTCCTCCATGTTGCCTCTCTGTGTGGTTGTTCTAGTGGCCAGTGCAGAAGTTCATGGAGTTAACTGGGAACAGTAGTCGGCCAAGTTCATTTAGGGAGTATCCTGGCAAGAGTCAGTTAAAGAAGAGTCCATTAAAAGCATTAATTCTCAGGTAACATTTCTGCTAGTGATCCACATACAAAAGGAATGTAATGTGGTTTTCTTAAAATATACCTTTTAAATGATTGGATTGGACTTATCCTCTTTGAAAACACTTTTTATTACATGTTTTTGTCTTTGTAGGCTCAACCACATCATCTTCCACCATCCATAATGAAGCTGAGCTTGGTGATGACGACGTTTTTACGGTAAGTTCCCCATGCCCTTTGCTTTCCAGGTTGGTGGTGAGTCATCAGGAGACGTTCTGTATAAGGGCATGAGAGACGCTTTGCAACTGGCATGTGCTGTTGCAGTTGGGATGCCATCGGGAGATCTCTGTCCTGTCACAGTTTTTCCTGCGCTGGGTTTGCCTTCGTCGTTCGTGTTGCAGTAACATCACCATGTGACATGACAGTGTCGGCTCTCCCGGACCTGTCCCAGGTTCTCTCGCGGTCTTCCCTCAGACTTCTGGTGAATAACTATCTGGTTTGCCTGAGACTGGCCTAGTTTTAGCACTAAAAGTCCCTAGTCCTACAAAGCACCTCAAGCCCAGGCAAACCAGGACAACTGGTTACCCTACTCAGTCATGAACACAACCGCTCCCTGGCATCATGGGGAAATCCAGAAATAGCCTTGCTAATGAGTAATTAAACCTCCGATGAATGGCCTGAAGGCTGAGTTGAGGTTGGGCCCAAGTGTGCTAAGGCAGGCAAGAGCGTGGGTATTTTGACACAGCTGGAGTTGACGGGACAAAATGATTTCTCAGCTTGCGTCTTCATTTAAATCCTGGGCTTCTAGAGTTAATTAACAAATAGTTCATAGCACACCTGCTGTGTGCGTGGTGCAGTGAGGAGCTGTAGGGCAGCATTTTCAGACGCTCAGCCTTGATCTCCAGTAGGAAATACCATTATATTGTAACCTAGGACACATGCACATCCAGAGACACCTAAAACCAGATTGTACTTCATGCTATGCATTATGATTTTTTCAAGCACATAGGAAAAGGTAAAGAATAATATGGTGAACACTGTATGCTCTGCACCTAGATTCAGCAGTTGTAACATTTTGCTCATTTGCTTTATCTGTGCATGTATGTGTACTTACAGATGTGAACACACACACACACCCCTCTTATTACTTCAGCATCCACCTCCTAAAAATAAGGTGTTCTTTTACACAGGCACACCATTACTATACCTAAGAAAATTAATAGGAATCCCATATCATCTAATAGTTCCCCAGTTGTCACAAGAGCATCTTTTAGAAGCTAGTTTTTATTTCATATTTTAAAATATTGGTTGCAACCCTTTAAACTTGCTTTGCAATAGACTCATCATGCAGCTGGTGATTTGAAACCACTGCTTTGGGAATATGAAGGTGTGGAAAGCATGGCTGCTGCAGGTAACAGGATAGTTGGCACAGATATAAGATTGACCGTGAAAGGCTTAGAGACTGGCACAGACTACAGTGCCCTGGACCCGAATGCTTTCTGGTAGGACAGGGATCAGAGAAGACCACTGGGAGGTGAGTCGGGACCGGACGTTGGTGGCATTTGAACAGGGAAGTGGCTTCAAGGCTGGGAGCCGCAAGGGCAAAGGCGGATGCAGGGATACGCGTGGTGAGTGGCCTGCGCACTGCGGCTCCGGGCCTGACATGAGCAGAGCGAGCATAGCGGTTTCAGGAAATGAACTCAGTTGTCCTTCCACGGAGCGGCCGGTGTGATGCGGCTTCGAACAGGCTTCCTATAGTGCTCGGAGCAGATCCTCTCAACAGTTGGCATGTTGCTTACATCTGTTCCTTTGTCACGTTTCGAGAGACAAACAACAGCAGGCGGGTTAAAAGGTGGCTTCCTGAGCTCCAGAGCAAAACTGCCCTTCACAGCTGCTTCCCCCCTACCTGCCAGAAGTGATTTATAGAATCGGGAGAGGGGGATGGAAGCCAGCATCCCTCCTGGTTTCGTCCCCTAATCCACGGGGGATCAGCGCGGGAGGGTAACGCCAAATGCCTGGAAGGGAGTGGGGAAACAGCCTGCTGCGTCCAGCCCCTTGGAGCTCCCTGGGGAAGGAGCTCCATCCAGTTCGTTGCATTCTGTGTAGCCCTGATGTAGACGACCAGTTGCCGTCATTCCATTTGTTTACAAACAAGGGACTGTTAATAATAGTACCTCCCTTCTCAAGACAGCCCTGTCTTCAGGCCATTGACAAGTCAGAACACATCCTGTGTGAGGATGGGGGGCGGTGATCAGGGGCTATGCTCCAGGTTTCCCGTTTGCCCAAGAGCTCCCTGTCGTCACACCTTCTATCCTAAGACGGTCAGTGAGCTGTCTGAGAGCTGGAGCAGGAAACGAGCAGCCACATTGACTCGGCACAGACCATAGCGTCCCAGGCTGCTGCGTTCTTAAACGTTTATTGGTAAGGCAGAAGTTCAGGACTTGGAACTCCGTGATCGCCGAGAGTGTAAGTAGGTGTAAGACCCTCATGGCCCAGAGAAGGAGAATCCCCTGGGAGAACAGTGTATAGAAAAGGCTGTAGAGGCCGCTTGAGGAAGCAGGACAGTATCTTGTTTCTGCTGGTGGAGCCAGGGGCTTCCCCCGGTTTCAGGGGATTCCTTGGAGTTAGGAGGAAAGCAGGACATGGTGGACAGTTAGGGAATGAAGCAGAAGAGGAAGGGGCATCCTAATTCCCCGTGGGGCACTTGTCTGGCCTGCCTACTCACCAAGCATGGACTATTTCTGCTCACACTGCCCAGCCCTAATGGTTATCCCCCAAAACAGCTTATCCACCTGTCTCCTCAGGATGGCACAACTATGTTGCAATTTCTGTCAAATTAGTGCCCTTCTTAGTGTGTGCATGCACATGACACCTGCCCTGCCCAAGCACCTGTTGCCAGTTGCCAACACTGTTGCCTCCAGTGTCCCCATGGCTGTATTTTCCATTTCACTGCCACCAGCCTGGTGTGTGCCCACATCTCTCCTGCCAGAACCACCACCAGAGACCCCCGATTAACAGCCGTTCCAACATTCTCAGTTTGGGCTGTTGACCCATTCGTGTGTCCTCATCTTTCTCCCTTGTCCAATTATGACTGTTCTCTCTTGTTTAAAATCCCATGGCACTCTGTTTATTTCTCTCTCACCACTTGAAAGCCTGCCCCTTTTTTGGCTTTTGTATTTTATCTGCAGAGTGTATGAATCTTCATCCAGTTAGAAGCTGGTTATCCATCATTTTAGTCTCTGCAATCCTATGAAGCTTTGCCGTATAAATGCCCAATAAATAGTTGTTCTGACCCCCAGATACAGCAGGTCCTTGAGTAATGTCACTTTGTTCAATGTTGTTTCGGTGTAACACCAATGAGATAGTGAAGGAACTTAACTCTTGTGATATCACATTAGCCTGTGGTAAAATGGGATTCATTATACATCATTTTGCTTGAAGTTGTAGAACCTATCGACAGTGGTTCGTGAGAATTCTTGTATAGTGTGTAAAATCATAGCTTTTTCTGTTTTGTTCATTTGCTTTATTGTTATCTTAGAGAACAATTTAAAGGTGGGTGATTTTGAGGGGATCTCAGTAACGATGTGTCATTTTTCCAGCTGTGTTGTGCCCAGTCTACAACCAGGAGCTGAGCCCCCTAGCTTATCCTCACTGTAAGCTTTTGGCTCCTTGTGCCTCTTACCCTCTCGTCACTTTCTCCCTTGCAGCACAGTCCTTTTGCAGCCCCTCAGCTCCATGGGAAACCTCAGTTAGAGTGACTGGTCCTAGGTGGCAGGGGTGTGCCCAGCATTAAGCATGGATGTATGAGGGAATTCCAGTGCCTGAGCCATTTGGTACACATTTTTAAGATGAGTAATGCAGAGAATATAAAACAACAACAAGAATGGTTAGCATTCTGCAAATTGCTGAGCGCATACTCTCGTCAGTGCGTCTGACGGACAGCTTTTCATTTCTGTCGCTTCCGAGCTGGGGAGACTTGAGAGGGACAGAATGCAAAGACCTTCACGTCTGTTCCCTCCATTGTGCTTTTGTCTTTGTGGAGGGGGTCCATGTAAACTTCAGATAGGAACAGTTCAGCTCGGGGGATAAGCTGAGTTGCTTCGCTCCCCAACTTAGAACTGGCTTCCTCCCAGACTCCTCCAGGTGAGGTCTTGGAGGGTTTGGAACCCACAAGGAAGGGTTCTTGGGCAGAGTGAGTCGAGAAAATAAACTGTCTAGAACAAGGGAGGCGCTGGGTTTTATGGTCACTTAATGAGCAATTTTCCAAATTCCTGTTGTGTAGGGCTTGGTCCCTTCAAACCAGTGATTTATTTACTGCTGCAGAATTCTACAGTAATTTTTAAATGATATGAGCATCTTCATCGCCAGACAAGGATCACAGGGTCGTGGGAGAATGCAGCTGCAGGGCATACATCCTTCTAGAGCAGCTAACCTAGAATCTGGTCATGTGTGGTCGGTGCTCCAGCTGTCATTGTGCTGAGTGGCTGGATTCTGGCTCTAAAGCTGGGGGATTAGGGAAATATTTGCTTTATAGAAGGATACTCGAGGGTGTATAAAAGGGCTAGATCTTCATCTTCCATAATAAGCAGTCCTTAAATAATATCTAAATCCACAAATCAGGAAATAGTATAAACCACATGGGATTGAAAAAATGGAGACAAATACAAGAAGAGCCAGGAGAGTTGAAAGTGTGTTTCTCTGGGGAGTGAGAAGCTGAGATAGAGAGGGGCGAGCCTGCTCTTTGAGAGATTGTGATATACGTACATGCATTGATTTTTTTTTAAAAAAAGAATCGGGGGGTTTATCAGAAGGAGGGTGAGAGGGCAAAGGAGAAGGTGGAATCGAGACAGACACCTTCGTTACACAACTCATCCCGACTCCCCCAGATTTAGAGGTTAAAGAGCACACAGGGGTTGACTTCTGTGGCTCTGAGTGCTCATTTCCGCCGTCCTCTCTGCCTGGTGTGAGGGACAGTGTGTCCACTATGGAAGTAGCGGCGCGTTAAAGGTAAGATATGCTACAGGAGCTAACTGGACATGTATTTGCCTTGGTGGGTAGCGAGGATCACTCCAACCAAGCCAACCCTTAGAATTAAAGGTCTTGGGATTGGAAAGGCTTTTGAGTTATTTTCAGATGAGTCAGACGGGTGACTTGCCTAAGCTCTCACAGCTAGTTCATCGCGGAGGAGCAGTGAACACGAGCTCCCAGCTTTCCCAGTT